GGTCAAATGATACCTTAGTGAACATCCATCTTGATGATGAATAAGAAATATTTTGAAATAGGGTTATGTGAAATTAGGGAGAGATAAAAGTCTGATGCTGACGGGCAGACAAAATCGGGTCATTGCTGTATATTTAAGAGTAATGATAGCTTGGCGTTTAAAAATTTTATGTTTTCATCAATTATAAGGTACAGGTATACCTCAATTTAACGTAACTGTCTTTTTTGACTTCTATCGTCAATATCTCGCTAATAACAATTGAATCATACAAATTAATATTAGCGTAAAACTGGGTATCTTTGATAATGCGGGTAGCTTTGAAAGTAAAATATAATTATTAAATTTACTCTCAGCGCTTTTCCGAATTAGAAACTTTAGTTCCATATTGTAACTTAAGGTATTTCCTTTGATATCGTTTTTAGTTTTATATAGTATATGTTACATGTATTACAAACATATTAAAACACAATTTTCCTGATTTTCGTCTGTTCGAAAAAAAAAACACTCAAACCATCACTTATGAACTATGTTTCCGACTATATATAGCCATCACAAATTCAATGTTGTATTATTATTGCTTATGATGTTTTCTGACTATATACTCATGCAAAGTTTCAAATCTCAAGAACTAAATTATTTGAGTTTCCCCCTTTTCTTTCTACATTCATCGAGCATTATCAAAGTAACCCCAAATCAAAAAAATGATGTTCGGTCACAAAACTAATGCAAATTCTTTAATTTTCGTTAAACATATTACTGTTGAATTAACTCTAGGATCCTCAGTACTTGTTTTAAAAATATAAAATTTGAAAACATGCATTGCTGTAAAAAAATATTTAGAATATGCTTTGAAAAACTATTAATGGTACCCCGTTTTACGGTACCTACAAATGGGAGATTATCTCATCTATCCGATGATGACATTACTTTGCTTGTTTGAATGATAATTTGCGGGAAATCGACGATGGAAGTAAAAAGTGAGAGTTACGTGATATCGAGGCATACCTGTATGGTGTTTTATAATATATGAATTCCTGCGATAAGATCCCCAAATTTTAAGAAAATACACGCGAAGAAATTTTGCTTATCATGTTTGTGGTACATATTTGATATCTTTATAGCAATGTTTTTTTTTGTTACGGTGTTGTTAGATTTTACGTTGGTGGTTTTACTCGATAATTTTGTTAAGAATCTGAAGAACAATGTTTAGATTTTCGAAATGATTTAGCAATGTTGCTTATGGAAACACAACAAATCAAAATATTTTTTAATCCACGGTGGTAAACTTCAATATATTTTTTTTTATTTACACTCAATTCTTTTTTTACGCGATTGTCATGTTTTCGATTTTGCACTTTCAATATTACAATATTTTTCTTTGATTTTTAAGTGATTTTTTGTAACAAGCTGCATTAACTTTGGTTGCGATTTGAGATCACACGATCACAAATTTCGCATAATGGACGTTTATCATACTGGAAATTTTGTGTTTAACCATGAGGACCTTCGAAGACGATTACCATAGTGATCGATTTGCATGTTTGCGTTTCACTATTGTGATAAAATAACCCATTTTTACGTTTTTCTTTAACGAGCATTGAAATTTGTATACAGATGCAGGGAGAGGGTGCCGAACAGTGCAACAAGGCAAAAGGGAGCATTCCGAGAATTTTGTCTTAGCATATTTTCCACGAAATTCATTTCATTGTAATTTCTCGCTCAACTATTCAAAAAGATCGATTCTCTTCATCGACTTTCTCTTTGGATCTTTGGCCATGTAATGGATTTTACAGTGGAGTGAAAGGATAAGGAACAGTCTGAATGACATGACAGTTATTTATGGGATTTTTCTATATGAGTAAAGAGCTACTGAATTAGCGGCGTCGGTGGTGTAGTGGTAAGCGTGATTACCTCTCACCCCAGCAGGCCTGGGTTCAATCCCAGTCGGCGCCGCCGGGATGTTCTGAGGCATAACATCTCTGATCACGCCTTCCTTCGGAAGGGAAGTAAAACCGTTGGTACCCGGTTCATGAGTTGATGGGTCGATAGGTAGGGTCTAGGTGTGGGAACTGCCTCCCTGGCGTCGGTAGCATTGGTGCACAGCACGGAAAACAAACCAAAGGAAAAAAAAAGAGCTACAGTAACGCCGTCAACGCCAATTATCATGTCCACGAAAGAAATGATCCCGGTGCATTTGGCCGAAGGCCGATTGTCCAAATGAGTCACTTGACCGAAATCAATTGATTAATTAATATCGAAAGAAAATTACAAGAATAAAAAAAATTAAAATGTGTAATTATAATCGCATAAAGAAGAAAAAAGCCTAACATTATTAAATTCTTATTCCCCATCAGATAACAATCCTGATAAGAAAAAAATCACAATTTTCATGGCAATGCAACAATAATCAGATCAGAAAACCCCTAAAAACTGCCCATGTTTAAAAGAAGCAAAACAAAAATCACTATGATTATTAAATTCTTTAGTAGTAAGCGTGATTGCCTCTCACCTCAAAAGGCCTGGGTTCAATCCCAGTCGGCGTCGCCGGTATTTTCTGAAGCATAAAATCTCTGATCACGCCTTCACGAGGGTCCCTGGCGTTGGTAGCATTGGTACTCAGTACGGAAAACAAGATCGACGGAAAAAAAATCAAGGAAAAAATAAATAAATACATATTTATCTTTATACGTGTGGATGCTATCCCATAGGAAAAAAACAAAGCTTTTTTCAATGAAAAAAATAACGAGAATAATAAATTATGAAAGTTCATGTTTATAAGAAGAAAAATTTCATAAAATATTTAATTCTAATTTATGATTGATTTGTTGAACTACACTAGCCTCGAAGAGTGGTGTCGTTCTAATATCTTATGAGTTCCACCGAGACATTTTATTTATTCTATAGCAACGCCTTTGTGTGGTCGGATTTAAAATGTTTTGACAGTACACGTGTTTCAGTAGTCTCAATACGTATTAAAAAAGTTGTACTAGATGGAAGACGATAAGAAAATTGATCCTACACACCCACGCCGAAAACCCGTTTTGGTTAGTAAGAAATATCCCTGGAGACAAACCAGCCCAGGCTGAAAGTCTAAGATATAAAAAATAGAAATATCGCGAAAAAGTTGAACATTGTCTATATCAGGCAGGTTCCCGGACAAAAGTTTTATCTGGCTACAGCACGGAGTGATGTCCCCAGCAAATACTACTTTTCATAAAGGCTCACAAAGGTACAGTGAAGCCACTACAGACGAAAAGTGCTTACAGTAGTACCGCGACAATCAATCCACCCAACTACCCCCAAATTCCACCCAATCGAAAAGTATTGGGCAATTCTCAACCGGAAGTTAAAAAAACTCGATGTTGGAAAAGAAAAAAAAGGTCGCTGAGGTTGACCAGTCCAGTGTGTGGCAGATGATGGCAGATGATTCCAAAGAAAGTCCGCGAGTTCATCTGAACGCCATCGGAGTAATTTTGCAATTGTTTTTTTTTTTAATGAAAGTACAATATACCTTAATTTTGACTAAATTACATTTTTCGTACATCAAACCAATCCCGAGAAAAACTTGATTTTATGTGTCCGGATTCTAAGTGGACCAGACTTTAGCTGGTGTAATGTTTCGCAAAATGGAAATTTCCGTAAGGAACGAACAGAGATGCAAAAAAGGTAATACCATGTCGCTGTATTAATAATTACCAGTACCAAAACTAATGCCATCGACAAAAATGAAAGAGTGAATTTGAATATTTTTCAACCCTTCAGAAAGCCTTAATAATTCTGAAAAATCATACAGAGATTATTTTACAGGGGTTGGTAATTTTTACTGGGTTTTAAAACAGCTGAAAAAGTCAGTAAACCGAAAATAATCGTCACACGAAATGTTAACAATATTAATGTAATTTATTTTATTTTATCATCAAACAATGTTAAAAGAACACAGTCTGCATAAATTAATTAAAAAAAAACGATTTTTACAAATTTTTTTTTAGAAGTAAACTGACTTTTTTTAGCTATTGAAAGACATAAAAAATAGCAAACATGGAGACTGTATATTGCTTATCTTTGACCGTTACGCGTATGACAAGTCAATGCAGTATTAGTTCAAAACATTGAAGGAGTCACATTGCAGACGAAATATGCATATCTTTATCTTTTTCAAAATTCACTACACTACACTACACTACAGACGCCCGCATTCATCACGGTTCAACATTTCTGAGTTCTTATTTCAATTTACGATATAGGGGAAATGGATTTAATGTCGGCCTAAACGCGTGATCTAGATGCACTTCCACAGTTATTAATTGAGGGCTATCGATGCCTGTACCATTTTTGCATTAGTTTAATTGTGTGGCAAGCACAATCATACTATATGCCCAGGGAAGTCGAGAAATCGAGCTTTTAAAAGTAGCAAATATTAATCACATGAAACTTTTGAATCTTGGTTTTGCAAAGTTTGCAAGTTCTCAGAAGAAATTAGCTTGACAAGAAGGATGTTTGGTGGCGAAATATCCTTCGACGAAATGACCCATTCGGCGATTTTTTTTCCGGCGGAATGACATTTGGCGAATTTTCGCGCTCCCATTAAAAACTATTTCACCAAACACAAATTAATTCACACTATATTTAAGGCATTACGATTTGAAACGTTACCCTCATTCCATTACCAATTTGGTCAACGATCCATCTAAAATGAGAAACACCGTGAACATAAAATCAAATCACGGCCATTCCTACATCCGATTTCATTAGGTTATCTTTCGCATCACACTTGTAAACTTGTTAAATCGAGAAACGTGACAAAATGCATTTATTGGCTCAAAATACTATCGAAGCATCAGGTTCGTGTCCTGCCTTACGCCCATTCAATCAAATCACGATATGAAATTTTCATAATTATCCTGCTTGATGCTTTGCTGTCATTTGTTCAGATATGTTACACTGTAGAACAAACACTCACAAAAAAACCTGAAGATAGCAACATGATTTAGTCTACAAACCTTTTAACAAAGCCGAGAACTGACTGTGCGTGGATATTGAATTATAACTGCTGTGATGTATTATTTCCGGCCGGCTTGTAATCTAATATATTTGCGATACACTCTGTACACCTGCCTTCGGTCACTGCAACACTAGTAGAGTAAACGAGTCACAATAGTTGGAAAGTGCACACAAGCACACACCTCTTCTCCACTGACTGCCACTTTGAATTATTACCCCTGATTCTAGGCAAGATCGCAGCCAACGGCCAACAAAAAACACCAAGATGGGCACGTGCGTTCTCACTATATTTTTCTCCCGGTGGACAACTTCTTCTGCAACCGGAAACTTTACTACTGTAGCCGGAGACAGTGTTTTGACGACTTTATATAGAACAGGCCGGAAGAGGAAAAAACCGCGCAAGTCCTTCGGTGCGTACCAGAGGAAATCGGGGAAAAGCGAACTGCTGCGAAGTGAAAACCGACCGTTTTGGTTTAACGATGGTTTCGATGCGTATGTAGTACTCAGTGCCTATTGCATAGTATCATCACTCACACGAAATAATTCGAAAAAGTCCAGAGTGGCTACATGCAAGATCACTTAGAAGCAGATTTGACGTCATCGTTGGCAATCTCATTGATGTGGGCCTTCGAGAATCGAGTTTGCTATAGGCAAATAATAATTAAGTAACTTGTGCGAAAGTAATATGCGACCGAGAAGGTCACATTAAATTCCACAACGTTGATTAATACCAAAACTTTATATCCTTGGGTAAGCGGAAACTTTCCTCTTGGTCTAGTCTGATTTTTAGCTTAAGCTAAATTGAATCGAATAGGTGCGGTTAAATTAGCCTTTTGAATTACAAGGCTCATCGCTTTTCATTAAAATTATAAATTTAAATGTACTGCAATAAATATAGAAATGGGACAACCTTAGTGTATCGTTTTTTAATCAATCAACACTCCAAGTACAAGGCTCATTACTAGGAACTAAATGTTCATCCAGCCTGATCTCGGTGGTTTTGCAACCGTTTTTCAAAACTCTTTCATTAATGTCTTACTCATCTAATCTAGCTGAAACTTGCTGAACGTTTGTGTTTTTAGGGTTGTTGTAATTTCCTCTGAAGCGCTGTGAGCGTGTCAAGAACCAAATAATACTACATATTTTATGATAGGTACACCTAATTTTACTGAAATTGTCATCAAGCTTCATAGTTCTTCAGCACCCAGCACCAGATCAGAGTGCGGACCCGATTGGAAAGAAAATACATTTTTTTAACAGAAGAACTACACAGTTTGAAAAAGTTGTGTAAATTTATGTTACTATGATGCACATAAATGGAGCGTTATATATCATACAAGTTTAAATTATAGAACTCGTAAATTTATGGGACATACCATGATATATTCCATAAATTGTATGCAACCGCCCACCTTTGTTAGCAACACTTTTTGTAAGTTGCTGGTTTACGTGAAAAGGAAGTTTACATGCATGAATAGATATTTACATCTCTATTAAAATTCAGATTTTTTTTTCTGTGTAATTCATATATGCAACTAACCCAAGTAACCAACAAGTCCGATAAAGACGATTTTTGCTATATAAAGCTGATATACGACTGATAGGATTTTTGATATAATTTCCGTCCTACTAAGCACAGTTCGTGAGTGGCGGAAAGGAAAACGGTGCGTGTTTGCGAACGATCCGATTAAACGTGAAAAATCCATATCAAATGGAATCGAATCCGGTCGGAACCAGTGTGAAAGTGAAGTGCTACTAACGATGCAGTGGAAATTATGATTGAATCCTTCAGGGGAGGTCTTCTTCTTCATCTTCTTCATTCCTTTATTTAACGTCGGTCTCTGTTCCGCAATCTAGTGCCAATCACCGACGGACATCGATTGCCATCCATTGACGTGCAGGAAGGCAGCTTCCACACCTGGTAGGATATCGCACCCATTCAACACACATGGGCCGGGACCAACGGCTTTACTTCCCTTCCGAAGGAAGACGTGACCAGAGATGTGTATGCCTCGGAAAAATCCCACCAACCTCGGCTGGGATTAAACCCAGACCCAATCCCACCGACCTCGACTGGGATTGAACCAAGACCCATTGGGGTGAGAAATCAGTCACGCTTACCACTACACCACCGGCGCCGGCTCCGGGGAAGTCATTTCTTTTGTATGGCGTCTTCGCTGTCGTTTGCCTGTTGATGTTTCATTGTGTGCGCGACCGTCGTTGACGGCTAGTCGGCACAAATACCATCCTCCCTGGTCGGTTCGGGATGACACCAACACCATGATCGTCCATAGGAGAGTTTTGTGATGAAAACGAATGACCTCTCCCCACTTATTTACCTCGGAGCAATGTGGAATCGTTTCCTACTCTGAGTTTTTGAAGTGGTGAAGAAATCAAAAGGACATGCCAATGTTTTAGGAGTTTTTCGTCATCACCGATTGTTTACCTCTTTTTTGCTACTAATACCATCAAATACACTCTTGGAGTCGAGTTTCGAACGCCTTTGGATACGGTTGTGTTTGTTCTCTGTTTTGTGCGTGCATTCGCTTGCATAGTTTTTGGCTGCATTTGCCAGATTAGCGCTGGCACTCTGCCTCCCGGACGGTTATATATGTGTGAGTGGTGGTTTTCTCGCTTTCCGAGAAGTTTTAAAATCGGGAAAGAAAACATGATTCATCATGTTTGCATAATTGCAAGAATCAGAAGATTTGGCGCTATCTGCGGGGTTTGATTTTTTCTCCCGGACCAGAAATTTGTGGCATCGCGAGTGAAAATTTTAATTTCAGTTTTTTTACGCGGTGATGAGAACGGCGCTGATCCATTGTTAGGGTTTTGCAATGTGCATTGCTTTTGTGCACGGAGTGACTTGAAAAAGGAAAGCGAAGAAAAGTGATATTTGGTTGTTGTGTGGTTGGAGGCGCTGCAGGAGGGATTGTTTAGGGATGACTAGAGAAAAATATGCGTGGAAGCATCTGGAATGCATTCTCGGGCGAAGTGATTTGGTGAGTACGTTCCAGTTGAAGATTGTTGACAAGTGTATTTGTGGTGATGCAAATTATGGTTTAGATGACGCATGTCTTCAAACATTTTGTGTATCCAAATAAAACATATTACATACTAAATTCGCACAGGGCATCGTCTGCTGACCATTGCTGCGGGTATATCGTGGGAGTCCCAGGTACCCGGTTCAAGCTTTAGTTGGCGGCGGTGGCTCTTCTTGACCTTCTACCCCCTGAATAGTTAGTGTGAATAAGGGCGTCTATGTGATGTTTTGCTGTACCTGTTGTGGACCTCTAGTGCAACCTGTTCCCTTAACTTGTTGAGGACACCCTGTCTTGCCTCAAAAGTTACCCTTTTTGAAGTACTAGTTTTCACAACATAAAGGGCACCATTACGGAGCATAAGGTTTGATCAAATTATTCGCAGTTATACTTGTCCAACGCCCCCGGCTGGGTGAGGGATAGAAGATGACACACACACACAATACCATCAAATACACTCTTGTGCCACACCTGTATATATATATATCATTGGGCTGCTATAAGATATGTTTTGCAGACAATGACACATGGTGGACATGAAGATCCAGTGGAGGTGCCAAGAAAAGGTGTTGTATCCTAGACAAATGGTAAGTTCCAAGTTTGCTATTTTCGTCATGGTAGTCACCGTTGGCAGTAATTATATTATATTCTTATATTATGTATATTTTCATATAAACATATAAATTCATTGGGTAGGTATGGGACCATCAGGGTGCTTGATTGAAGTGATTTGGATGGGGAGAGTGGAATTTCCAACTCCCTGTTCTTAACATTTCGTGAATCGAAGGTGGGCTCTGCTCCCCACTCATTGGGACATCCCCTCGTATGATGGCTTGTTCTGTATCGGGTTGGAACATTTTTATCATTGGAAGGAGTACTTTGACTATATGTTTTAGTATTACTTCTACGTGAAGTCAACGATTTACATAGTTGAAGATGCTAATTTCAAATAACAGACTGTAGTGGTAATTTTTATACGATAGATGGAGTAGATGAAAGCATAGAGTTGATAGTTCCGTTAGAGTACGGCAGTGTGAAGATTGCATATAGATATTAGAATAGCGAGCTAGGACAACTTTTAAGGAAGGTACAAATCGGTTTTTTCATCTCTCTTTACCAAACTCCCCCTTTGGAGAGGGATGGTGAGGGGTGTCCCCCCCCCCCCACCACCACTGGCAAAAAGAGATGAAAACCGACCGCTCAAGTACCAACTGCGTGTTTGAAACAGTATTGGAAGGAGATTCTTTTTGCTCCCGTGGATCACGCGTAAGTGTCTCTGCTTATGGGTCCACGCTCCGTTATTGGCCCTACATACAATGGTAAATTGAATACAACCAGGTATAGTACTTGATCAAGTCATACGAGGTTGACAGTCCACTGTCTAATGGCTGTGCCCTACAACAATGAGTGGTATCCTTTACATGCATACATACCTACAATATCATTTTAATGTGTCTAAGACAATATTTAAGAATAAGAGTATAGTAAGAACTGCCTGTGCGACAAACTGATAAGACCAATGATAAAAAAATGGGATTTTGGAACAGGAATGAGCTTACGGCTCAGAGCTCAGACTATTTTCAAAACCATGGAATATAGAAAATATTTTAAAGCTTGAATCAAACAATAATCAAATATTTAGAGACCTCAAAAATGTGCTATAGGGAATTTTTCTTTAATTATCGGACAAAATAGGCCGAAGGGTCTCAGAATTTTATGAAATTGTGCACACAGGTAGAGTTTATCGTTATATGAACGATATCAATGTTTCTTTTTAGTTTTCCTCCACCTTGAAAATGTTTATGGAAAACATATTTCAGTTTACATTTAATATGAATTGCTGAGATAATTCTCGTATCATTTTGATGATGTTTTCGATGGTTCGTTAGTTATGAATTTTAAAGTATGTGAATTTCAAAAAAAAAATCAGAGAAGTTGAACCAACATTTTCCCGGCCGTTTTGGTCAAAAGCAGTAAGAGAAATTTTCACCAGTGAAAGATAAGAAGTATTGAAGTATGAAAAATATTCACACCCTGACAATGTTTTTTCCATATGTCAATTGCGATTTTCCTCCAGCGTGAAAATGTTAATGGAAAACATTTTACAGATTATATTTGTTATGGATTGCTGAGATAATTTCCATATCATTTCACTACACAACGTTCTTTCTACGATGCGCTGAATATGATTTATGAATTTTCAAAGTACGTGACGTCCGGGAAAATCAGAAAACTTCAACTTAAATTTTCCAGGAAAATTAACCACCT